TGTGTTATACCGTGTTTATACTCTTCTTTTCTGTCTTGTACTGTCATGCTGTGATCTCCATTCCTGTTCCAATTTGCTTTGTCTGCTGCTCCATCTCCAGGGTGCCGAAAGTGAAGTGGTTAAAGCGGTTGCGTTAACCATTACGTTTCTGGGAAACTAGAGGCATGGGGTTCGATTCCCCGCGGCGCCCGCCCTTTCTGCCGGAGTGAGCGGCAGACGACGTCATATAGCCTCAGCAGCTGAGTGCGTCGTAAGTCCCAATGACGGCTGCTGTTTTAGGCGGTAATCTCCAGCCTTGTGTTGTTATTTTCTACTCTATTCTTCTCTACCTTGTTCTCTCTCATCCTGCCCCGAACGCTAACCTGCCTTGTTCTGTCCTGTTGCCACCGACCCTTCATCTCCTGCTTTCTGGATGTCATGCCATGCCCAGTGACGGTGGAACCGCTATGGAAATTGGGGGACGGAAAGCATGGTTTTGCCCGTTCTTTATGTGTGCTTTATGTCCGTGTGCTATTCTCCCCATCTTGCCTGTAGGATGGTTATTTTTAACATCCCCTTATTCGAAATACCTTTGTTAGTTCAGGTTATCTCTATATTTCAGTTTCACCCGTTCAATTCCGATTGTCCCCGCGATCTCATGGTCTGATTACGTCCATGCCCAAGAAGGCCCGAAAATGTAACACAGTATGTTATCATAAACATGTTTCGAGTGTCCGTTAACTTATCTTATTTTGCGGATCCCTGGCCCATGGCCCCTCCAGCTTCGCTTACATGTGGACAGCACCTACTTCTTCACACGTGCAACTTTTGCGTTAAACACGCATTTGTCATGGTTGTCCATTTCATGTTTACAGAAGTAGTTGCCTGAGAGCAAGGTAAAAAACTTATCAAATTTGGTAGCTTTGCAGCGCATTTTTGCCAGAAGTGGTGTTTTTACATCCGCCGGAATCAATACGACGCATGCACCGAGACGTGCCTATGTCTGAATGTAAACATTTCCACAGCCGTTCGCTGAAGCAGTCTAAATCGAAATTGCCAGCAAGGACTAATATGACGAACTGGACTTATCTGACTGACGGGCATGCATGTACGTGGTTTACCATTGCCGAAATGGCCAAAGGCAGAACCGTACATCCACACTTCCTGCACACAGCACCAACGGCAATGCTCTCTTAACGGCCTATTCCACCACGCAAACATGCATAATTCGCCTAGTAACGATGATGGCATTACATCGTGACGATAGCAATAATGATAACTTGATAACTAATGACGTGCTCGCTGTGATCGGCCCAATTCGTGACGCCAGTTTACAGCTCGTATTATAGAAAACGACGCCATCATGCTCACATCGTCGGCGCGCAAACGTGCACCACGCCCACCCTCCAGCACTCCAGAGCAGCCATGCAAATGTGCCAGTCAGAGGACCTGCTGAACTGGCGGCCTCAGCCCGATACCGAACACGAGTCCAATGTCCGTCAATGCCCCGTCCGTGGGATGACATTACCGACCGCCGGCCAAGCAGAAACCTCCCCGATCTCATGCATGCCGGACGGGTCGAAGGTCACGGTGAGCCATTACCCGAGGCGACTAAGACGCGGACCATTCCGTTGTTGCCTGCGCAGCGGTACTGGACCGGGTTTCCCCAGCCCTCCCCCGCCAGCTCCAAAACACACCGCCAAAGCCGGCCGACACGGACCGGTCTCGGGAATGCGGCGCGCGTGCTGCGCCTGCGCCACGACCGCCACCCCCCCCCCCCCCCCCCCCCCCGCCCGCTCCCGTCAGCTGCTCTGCACACCGGCTGACAGGCCAGCCGAGGTCATCAGGTTCGAAGCCTAGTTACGCCACAGCCTCTGCAGTCGCTGGCGCTCTATCCATAAAAGGGGCGCAATGACGTATGTCGGGTTTCCTAAAGATATAAAGCCTTACTAGCAACGCTGTAGACTTTTACAGGCTTTCGTAATGCAAGGCTCAACACGATATTTTTCTGCGACCCTGAAAAATAGTTATTATTCTTACTTGTAACGCATACCAAACTGGCCGGCTTTACCAGCAAAGATTCGATTACATCAGCGCTTTATTTATTCCTTAGCTATCACAATGTGTCACAGTCACTGCTCAGAAACAGCCGAGCAATAATTATCAAGTTTGTCATATCTCAAAATAATCTTCTTGCTGAAACCAATGAAATCCATCCTCGTAAAGCACACCAAATGACCCGAGGCAGAGAAAAAGCCTCAGGGGAGTTACATAAAATAGCCTGTTCAAGCTGGCAACGATAATCAAAATTTCACTGGCATTCTGACTTTGTTTCAAATAAGGCGTGGCCGTGTCTAAGTGATTTCCTTACCTCATACAACAACTTTTGGGCGTAGATATTTGTTTAATCATAATCATATTTGTGCCATAATTTGTTCATCACCCGTCACATTTATAATGGTAATTATCCCACACCGACATACACACATCTATTCCAGAGGTCATGGACGCGGCCTAAGCAGTTATGGGAAGTGCGGGGTTTTAAGCCCACACGCGCATGGAATCCGCTTCACCGTACGCCATGGTAACTTGCTCTTCGTTCTAGATACTCAAACAAACAAGGAAATGCTGCGTCATGCTATCGGGCCTCCCAGAAGTCCACCATCAGCAACAGCAGGCGGCGGCTGACGAAAGCGAGATCAACCGCAGAGAGCAGAACGCAACGTCGGAGGTGGCGCGGGGCCCACCAGCTCCTCTCGCGGTCGGCCAGCACACCAGCTGCACGACGCCAAGCCACGCCCCTCGTGTCAAGCCACCCGAGTTCGCGCTCAGGTGCACCATCGCTCAGGAGCCCGTGCTCCAGCAGCTTGAACCGAAAGCGGGAGGGGCACCCGGTGGCCGGTGCGGCCGACCCGCGCGCCGCGTGCCGCCGTCGCCGCCGCCGGGGAGACAGCCGACGTCAGCCCGCAGCGGAGCCGCTGGGCGCAGCCAACACGTCCACCACGGCGCCCCGCGCGGCGTCCTGATGCCGCGGACGCCAGCGCCGACCGGCCGGGTCATCCGCATAGTCTGGCTGGGAGCGACGAGCTGGGCGGGGCGTCCGGCCAGCGGTCGCCCGTCCTGGACCGACGGGCGATACCGGCCGGAACCTCCGGCCACAGGTCACCGCGCCGCACCGCGCTGAAGAACGCTTGGCCTCGCGGAGAAGGGGAGCGCCAGGCGACTCTGGCGGCCAGGGTGCGGCCAAGTCAGGGGCCAAGACTGGGGCGTGGTCCGCCTTCAGCAGCTAGGACCGGAGCGCGGTCGGGCCTCCAGCGTCCAGGACCTGAGTGCGGTTCGTCTCCAGCAGTCAAGGCCGCCTCCGGCACGGACGCGCCGCCGCCACGGAGCCGGAGACTGCGGCCCGGCGCCCCGCGGCCCACTCCGCCGCGGGAGCACAGGACTACGGCTGGCCGGCGGGCAGCGCGTGTCCCCCTGTCAGTGTGAATAGAGACGATGGCTCGTCCGCAGCACACCCGCTCGCAAACTGAACGATCGCAGAGGAATCCTGCAGCCGCACGCGTGGCTTCACTGGAGCACGCGCGCGTCACCTCTTTCTGAGAATCTGTCGCGCTCTGCTTCCCAGGACGCACAGCTATTTGCGTGCCTGCTAATACCGCGCCGGTTACCGCGTGCGACGGTTCGTGGAGGCACGCTGACGGCAGTGCGGTGTGGGCCGTATCCGAGGCCGTCCCAGCGGGCAAGGGCACGGCGCTGTGGTCCGTGCGCTCGCCACCGGCCAGTACACCCGCACGCCATGCACTGAGCGAGGGGCAGTCCGCCGGAGGGCTGGCTGCAGCGCCACCTCGTCAACAGGCGGCGCTCCGTCGCCCGTGGTCGAGCGCGTGGCCGTTATACTTTCCCGCAATATGGTTTGTGTGAGACCCGAATGCGCGTGTGGGACCCGGGGAAAAGAATGTGGCTGGTTACGGCAAGTTAGGACGACCTTGCACAAAGAAACCGGCCGGGTCTTCAGGTCTCAGAACCTCTGGTAAAGGTTGGAATTTCCATTCCAAACCGCATACTGCGCAAAGGCGCAATGGCGACGTTGCGAGAAAGTAATCAACAATAGCTCAGATGCACCTCAAGCATCCAACGGCCGTAGTTCACACCTTGGTGCAAGACAACCGGCTTCGGTTCCCTCGTTCCTGCTCACAACGAGACTGTACCATATGGCGTTGTATGCGAATACTTATGCAAGGTTGTGAAAATATTGGCTCGAACTAGGTTATACCGATCAGTCGCAACGGATGTTGCCGGGACGGCACGGGACAGGGCGGTAAATGATGGGACACAGAGTGAAATTGAGTGGGATGGGATGGGATGGGATGGGATGGGATGGGATGGGACGTGATGTGATGCAATGCGATGCGATGCGATGCGATGCGATGGGATCGAGCAAATCGAGCGGATCGAATGAATCGAACTGATTGAACGGATCAAACAGATCCACAAATCGAATGCGTCAGGTCAGATCGCTTTGGTTCGTGTTCGTGTTCTTGTTCTCGTTTGTGTTCGTGTTCGTGTCCGTGTCCGTGTCCGTGTCCGTGTCCGTGTCCGTGTTCGTGTTCGTGTTCGTGTTTGTGTTCGTGTTCGTGTTCGTGTGTGTTCGGCTCGGGTCGGGGCAAGTTGAGTCCAGCCAGGCCTTGGTTCCACGGGCCGACTTTGTTTTTAAAGTGTGTGAATGAGCGTGATTGCTTTTCTCGTATGCGTTTTGACTGCGCTATCATGCACTAACGTGGACACCACGAAACCTAAGGTACCTAACAACCATATCTGTATCTTGAGCCACTCGGTTTCCCATTGAACGAAGCCTGCATACATCCAGAGACCCAAAACTCTTCATTGTACACACCTGAGCAAGGCAGCACGGGAGCCCCGCCTGCGAGCGTCACCTCCCTGCACACCCGGCTGGACAGAACAGGCCAGCATCTAGCCAAGCCCCTAGCTGCGGTGTGTCCTGGCCGGCAGCGGTCACTCACCGTGCCGGGGCGGCGGGGCGGGACGACGACGGCAGCAGCGCCCTCTGGTCGTCGCCGGTCGGCTCCTCCTCTTCGTCCTCCACGACCTCGGCCTCCGGCGCCGGCAGCACCGCGTCCTCGGCGGCAGCCATGCCTGCAGCGGGAGCACCGGATCAGATCAGGTCAGGTCAGGTCAGGTCACCGCGGCGTCGGCCTGGCCCGGCGACACGCACGCGTCGGCGGTGACGCGGGGTGTTTGGCTCCCGGGCCCACCACTCTGGCCGGGACAGTGGTCCGGAGATGCGCAGCGACCGCGACTGATAGCACGTCCAGACAGCCGGAGATATCGCGAGATAACGCCCCCGCCAAATACGCCGGCTGCACACCCACACCGTGGAGCATCTACTCTCTAACCGCAGGAAGCTTCTGACAGGCCGTGGCGGCCCTGCGACAACTAAAATGCTGCAAGAATGCCTACCAGACAGCATCATTTTGTTTGGAATTTGGGACGTACGTCGCAGTCCTGGATCTCAGTCCGCACGGCTGACTTTAGAGTTTGAGACCGGATCCCTCGCCACCCAGGTCACCTTGAAGACCACCACCCAACTCTACCTAAACGTGTCGACGATGCAGTCTGGGAAAGCAGTCTGTGTTTGCGTGTCTGTCCGCAATTATCGCGCCTGGGAAACCAGCGGTATGAGTCCTCACAGTGCCAACCCTTTCTGCCATTTTGAGAGGCGGGTGATACTATATAGTCTCAGCAGCTTGCCTTGATAATAACGTGACCCGACCTTAACCTTCTCCGGCACGTCCTCCACAATCTCGGCCTCCGGCGCCGGTAGCACCGCGTCCTCGGCGGCCGCCACGCCCGCGGCGGGAGCACCGGATCAGGTCAGGTCAGGTCAGGTCACCGCAGCGTCGGCCTGGCCCGGCGACACGCACGCGTCGGCGGTGACGCGGGGTTTGGCTCCCGGGCCCACCACTCTGGCCGGGACAGTGGTCCGGAGATGCGCAGCGACCGCGACTGATATCACCTTGATAAAGTTGATAAAGCATGTTGATAAAGCCATGTCCAGGTGTTTGGATTATCTCTTAGATTGCATTGCATAGAGTAATGTCATATGATACACCTTAGTTTTGAGCATTGTTACACCTGACGTGAAGTTCCAACTTCCTATCACTGACTTCACTGAATTATTACCTCCTTTACAAAATTATTGTTGGTGAAAATGCTCAAAACAGATACACAGCAACACATTCTTGTTTCTGTGTCTGCCATATTTTGTCCTTTGGTGGCACCAATTTAATAGAGCACATTTATCATGTGTACTGCCAATAGTAGTGACCTTCAACTGGGTCATCATGGGTTAGATTTAAATTATATGGTATTCTGAAAATACCTCTCAGCATAAAAATATCTTAAAATTGTCAGTTAACTATAACCAGCAGATGATGAATGTCTCCGCTTTATCTGTTGCACTACCCTTAGAAATGTGTTTCACATGTATAACTTTACATGCACAATTTTGGAGCAATAACCTTGTTGGTGGAAGCTGTGGCTAAAACACATGTCATTCAGCAAGCCTAGCCAGCAAACCAGACTGCTGGTCTTGATGTTATCTGCTGGGGTTGATCATGAAGGGAAAGTTTAAAATCAGCCCTATGACATTGAATAAAAAGATAATACAGGAGTCATGTTTCTCACATCTCCTTAGGATATCTGCCATCAATGACAAATACATACACTTCTAATGAACAACAATTATGACATTTTCATCTAGCATGCAACAATGCGTGCTCATAATGACAAATAGTTATAGAGGTATTGTGTGCAGCAAGTGTGGGGAAAGCAATGTATGTTCTGTGCTGTGCCATATTAGAGTTAATGCAAAGTTTCTCCATGAAAGGTCAATTCTTGCCCTTCTCCTCTGTTCCATTCAGTTCTTCACAACATCTGAGATATTTGTTATGTACAAAGTGGGTATATTTACTAAGAGGGATTAAACGATGCTGTGCCCATTCCAGCATACATAGTTTTTCCTAACCACAAAGCAGAAACTAATTCAAAGAAATGTATGGGCATGAGTAAAACCCAATTAGTAGCAATTCAACACACAATGAAGCGATGTGGCATCCACAATCCAAAGCCAGCAGAAAAAATCATGACCGTAGCTGGTTAAAGCTACATAGTGGTTGTAACACAAAACCCTTGTCATGAAGGTGCTTCTAACATGATGGCCTCAACTGGTTTGAGCAACTATATCACTGATGGTATCAACCAGGTTATCCCATATGACCATAATATTGTAACTGTTCACCTGTTGGCAGGTTGCAGCTTCACAAAATGAGTTTGGGGGGAGAACTGAGTAGTGTAGTTACTCAACCTGCTCCTAAAATGTGCCAAAAGACTTTTCCCCAGATAATATGCACTTGCTTTTAAAATATAGGGGGTGAAGTTCAAGTTGGGAGGGGGTGAATGAGGCCCTATGCCAGTTGAATAGGAAACTATGCCTCTACCTAATGCCTTTTGATCACATATTAGTATGCAAAACACAGAACACTTGGTGTAAATTGAGAAGTCCCAAATTTTCATACAAAAAATGATAGCTAATACTTGATCTCAAATTTATGAAGAACTATTACAAGAAGTTATGAAGACCCTAGAAATACTCAAGAAATTCAGCATTAGTCTTATAGCATTACATGGAAAGAGAGCCCATGAAAGTGACCTTTGAATCCTGAAAACTTTGATAAAGGTACGCATATGCACTTAGCTACCAAAGAAGGGGCACATTTCCTGTTTGCTGCAAGGGGTCTTCAACTTCACGTTGATGACGTGACGTTGGATAAAACGTATCACTCACCGAGGCAATACCAGCAATGGTATTTCAGTCAGATCAATACATGGCAAACATTTTTGTTGCAACATAACACCAATATTCACGCCACGAAAACATAATGAGAGATAAACAAGTCAGCATCTGCAAATACACAGACTGTTTCCCTACAATACCAGCCATCAAGGCCGTACAACAAGCGCAGCTATCGAAACTGTTGCGCATAAATGGCAGTTTTGGCTCAGCTGACTATCAAGAAGGATATGATTTCAGATACTTTCGATAAACGCGATGAATAAAAACTGAATAAACAACAGAAAACTGAATGAAATCAGCAATGATCATTAGAGTGAATGCTCATGCTAGCCATCATCCTAGGGGAGGGGAGGCTTGCTGCGCCCGTCTAAGGTTGTTTGTGGATACATATTCGGCATGTGCAATGGCGCCATTCAGCAGCCCGTCACTTACCTTCGCAAGTTCAAACAAGGTCAATGACCTTTAATATACATAACACAAAACATGTTCCTAGCTTTTTAGTCTCAGAGCAGCGACGGTGCTTGAGGAACACTGCACGACAATGTATGGCCTGAGAGAGCGGGCGGGTGACAACCGACAATGCCGCTGAACGCGCACGGCCGGCTGACATGCCCGTGAGTGGGGCTAGTCTGACCCCCGGCAGATTTTCCGGATTTTTTTTTCTTCTCCAAGCGGCGTTGTGCGGCCGTCCTAAACTTTGCATAGATGTAGGTAATAGAATCACAAATCCTGCGGTATAAAACTTCAGATGTACTTTGTAAGGTCGCTGATCTGTGGCAGCCCAAAATCAGGCCAAGGCTGTCGGCGAAGGTCATTTCTAGGGAATCGTTTCAAATTTTAATCTGATGCGACAACGAAGTGTTGGACGGAGCCATTGATCTCTGATATGGTTTCTTGGGCAATAAATCAATTTCGTTAAGAATTACAGCATAATCCATTGACCTAGGGTTAGGTTTGAAGGTCAGACCCAGGTTCAAACTCACCTGGCCTTTTACTTGAGAGTTTGCTCTATGGAGCAGTTTCTGCCGCTCATTTTGAATTAACTAAATACAGAGACTGCAGCAAACATGTTTTATGGACTTTTTAAATGTCAGAGTACGTCGCTGATCTAAGATGGTTCGGTTCCACATTTGGTTTTCAGGAACATACCGCCAAGCGTCATCCCTAGCGCTTATTTGAGTCTCGAAATAGGAGCAATCTCGTAAATATGCGGCCACTTGCATTCGTAAGTTCAAACAAGGTCAATGACCTTAAATATGCATAATTGGCCTTTAGCCGAGAACAGGTTTCAAGGTTCACGTCGGTGGCATGAGGTCTGGGCGCACTGTGGACACCAATCTGGAGCTTGACCTTGTGTAATTTCATTTGACCCAAAGGTCATGGCCTATATACCTCACATTTTGACACAAGTGTGTTGACATACAGGCCAACCCACCCTGTGAATTTGGTGCATCTAGCTATCTTGATTTTTAGGTTAGGGCATCGAATTGCCCCCCCCCCCCCCCGCAGACGAGCAAAGGGTATTCAACCGGCCACCAGGGCGCTCATAAAGTATGCTTAAAATCCATGAAAATGCACACCAATGTGCTTGAAATGGAACACTGAATGCGCCTGTTTAAGTTTCGCGTCACCACAAGGCATGGTCTCGCAGGCATGACGTAAAGCTGAATAAGTGCGATTTTCTGAAAAATTGGGGTCATGATGCAATGATGGGGACAATTATTGGAATATCAATGTGAAAACTAGCACCATTCACGAGATTTCGTCAAGACCAATCCACCGTTCTTTTTCTGTAAAGCTCCATCTTGATTAGTTTGGAAACGCCCTGGTTCGTATTCCCCCCCCCCCTATCAGTCTTCGTTAGGAAAAACGGCTAATCAGGGTGAGGGCAAACGTTTGGTTACAGCAGAGGGCATAGAAGTTTATCATCGTAGATCAGTGAAAAATCTTATTGCGCAACTCTGAGCAAACTGACGGTGAGCGAAACTTGGTAAATTACATTGAAGGAAACATGAGACAAGGTAGAGGGAGGGAAGGTGCATAAGGTAAGACAAGATTTGTCTAAAAGATCGGGCCCAATGAGTCACATGATACAGGCTGCAGAATTGTAGGCAAAACGTCGATTCATCCATGCAAAAATAACAAACAAAAGACGGACCGTCAGGAGATTTTTCTAGTTTCTTGGATGCCTGGATGGCACAGGAAGTGTTCAGGGGTCTGTATATTGCATCATGCTTTTGTACGTGAATTTGGAGCCACTGGGCCTAAGCCCGGAGTGTGGTTTTGCAAAATGAGTTTGAGGGCCTGAACAGTGAAAAATGACTTAACCTATCTTCAAAATATGCCAAAGACGAGTTCGTCATCTCGAATTCGGTCCATTTTTTTGCAAAGCGGGGTGGCGGTAGGGGGAGGGGATGCTGGAAGCCAAAATTGGGGGCTGCCCCTGCCAACTGAATAAAAAACTACAGCCCTGCCACGAATATTTGAATCTTAAAAGCTCTGGTTAACTTAGCCTGCTCACCAAAATACTGTGTTTGCGACACTTTGGTTTACCGAGATTGCTTCGTACCTCTGATTATTCTGATATTTTCTTTTTTTAAATTATCTCGAACTTTTTGAATGACTCGATTTCTTGGATTAGAGCTCGCGCTACGCAGTGTTTCCTGTGTGAGCTCTGGCCCTTACTATTCGATCGTGCAATTCCAGGTCAACGGAAGAATTTCAAGGCGAAGGTGCCGTGTCGCAATGGTCGGTACGTTCCGTCCCGCTCTCTGACGTCGCTTGACCTTTGGCGTGGCCGATGCCACCGACCGCAGACCGCATCTGTCAAGGATGAATAGCGAGCAACTAAAGCGACTCGGACCCACCTCGGCACGAATGGGTGGATCGGAAGGCAGGCGCTCTAGCCAACTGAGTCGTCGGAGCGGACTCTCCTGTGAATCATGCCAGAGCTCCGCCAATCAGCGAAAGGTTCTCGGAAGGCATGCCTGCGGTCTATTCGTATTCGAAATAGACTCATCTCATGTCGTGCACAAGACTTTCACGACACACGCTGGACGTTATGCCCCAGGAGCTTTAACACGGATGTGTTTAATTCGGAGCAATAGTTGTTATTTGCGGCACCCGTGTGACATTCAAATCGTCTTTTGATAGTTTTGTCATTACGCCTTTATTTGGATTGTTGTTTATGCACGATCCTGGCGTACAACGCCCTGCTTCCGATCTTTTGAAGATCACATTATAACAAGGTATTGCATCTTGTCATGCTTTGCCTCATGACCATTTTTCATGCAATATTTTCGACATTATATTACTCACATGGTTCTTCCTGCCTCAGCTTATTACATGATCTTCTACCCACCATCGATGCTGTTGTATCCTTGTGCAACGCCATGCTGTGTTTCCTCTAGCTGTATCGGTGATAACGTAAGCTGAACTTGCCGGATCAAAAATAGCTTAGTTGGCAATGTTTATGTGCCCAATTATAAAGATAAATGCACTAAAATATTCGAAATGGCAAAATTATGCGGATTACCATAATAGCCATGCCATTGTAAATAATAAAGCTATCAATTGTGCCATGGAAACATCAAGGTTGCAATTATTATGGCAATAGCATGGACATAAAAGTGACGTTGACGATTTACATTATCACTTCACGTAAGAAATGGAATGAACAACACACTGGCTACTTGCTAGAACAAAGTTTTGGTCATGTATAACAAAACAACCTGGTTTGACCTGACCTCTCAGGCTACACTTAAAATATACGTGGATCTTTAAGAGAAGGAAAATACATTTCCTTCAGCATGATTGTCCCTCGGTTTACAAATTATGGAAAGATCGAAAGCTGGAATGGGGACTTCACCTAAGTGAACTAGTTGCAAATTACAACTTTCTGACTCATTTATTGAGATATCATTACGTCACGATGCACCAGTTGCACAAACTGCCGTTCAGACTTCATTTCTCGGAAAGCCCACCAAATAAAACCATGCGCCGATATGCATTTTCAAAACGTACGGAAGGGCTTGAATGCTGTAAAAAGATATTTCCCAATGTTACGCCAGCTGGGTCCCATCCGGGATTGTTGATTGTTCATTGATAGCATGGACATAAAATGGATTGGATAGTCAACTTATTTTAAAGTTAGATGACATTTGAAATTCTTTCAAAAATGCATACGTGCCTCGAAAACCACGTGACATTTGAAACCAAACACTTCTTATCTGGAAACCAATTACCGAAGTGAGCCACTGCATATGGACTCCGATATTCTATCCCTGAAGTCCCTGGTATGCTGGTATGCTCGACATTGATACAGGCTGACTAGGCCTGACCCGGCTGATGTTGGAAGGGCTCACACCCCAGGGCGTGCCAATTCAGTGCACAGCGTCGCAGGAGTGTCCAGTAACTGTGGACGGACCATCCTCCCAGCGGCCACTACGGAGCCGGCTGTGGTGTGCAGCGCAGCGCTATCTGTCATCATGTGCAGTATGCAGTGTGCAGTGCAGAGCTGTCCGCCATCATGTGTAGTACGCAGTGTGCAGTACAGATCCGTCGGTCATCACGTGCAGTGTGCAGTGCAGAGTCATTGGTCGTCATGTGCGGTTTGCAGTGCAGAGCCGTCGGTCATCATGTACAGTGTGCAGTATGCAGTGCAGTGCAGTGCAGCATACAGCGCAGAGCTGTCGGCCATCATGCGGACGGCGTCCGCGCTGCCACGGCGGCCTTGCAAGCCAGAGTGGCAGGCGTTGCAGCCACAGCATCCGCCCGGGCACCCTGCTGGCTGACGGCTGACAGGATTCGTGACTGTCGATTGATCCAGACTGCCTGGTTGTTAAGGCCACTCCTGCACTGCCCAGAACCGGCGAGGCTGATCAATACCAGGCTGGCAGATGCGCTTACATCGCCCGTGGATAACGATGTCGACGCCGACGGCTTTGTCTTGCAGCAGCGGATGCATATTGCGAAATAGATGTATCGAGTAAACGTTGCTTTTGAAAAAGTCAGGGATAAGGCTTCAGATTCGCATGGCACACATAAATTTGCATCTGGCTCTGCTAGAATGGGAAGGAAGCATGACTGCACTCATTTGCTTTCCCTGCCTTGAGACATGCGGTATGTGATTATGTCTGGCGATGTAGATTTAGTACAAAACTCCGTGCCGTGCTTTCCTTCGGACTGAACGGTAACCTCGGTGTGCACTAACGGGATGTAACATGGCCTCTACGGTATAGCATATGTCGGAATATCCATCGTTGAAACGCTGAAGAGATGTGCTTAATAGGTTTTTGTGACAAGTCCAAAAGGAGAGCATGCCATAAGCAGAATGCGAGAAGCCCGTTTGAAGAGCCCCTTGGATATGGTAGCCAGGGACGGCGAGACACATCCCTGTGTATGGCAATGCCGGATATCCGTCAGAAGTGTTCCTAGCTCTACCGCGTGCTTTTATTGGTCGGTCAGTGACGGATATATCATTCAGCGTTGCTGCTGTTCACACCATGTGCACGGATTTTGTCGGCATTTGGGCCGCGGAGGTTGGTCGCTGACTTGCTGTTACCTACGGTCTGGACGCTCCCGGGAACATTAACGGGGCTCACGCTGAATGGGACGACGCCGCCGGCGTTGGTCACTCTTGGAGGAGGTTGCCTCGTCGTGGAAGCGGTTCAAGTCCTCTTCGGCGGTCTTCACATGGGCTAGCACAAACTGTGACAGCTGTCTGATAATGTCCTCCGGTGGGCTGCCGTGGGGGGGGGGGGGGAGGGTCCACAAGCAGGGCCACTTGACCCACTGTGACTGTAGGGGAACCCCTGGCTTATCGTCGTTGGGTTGAACAGTTCTGTACAGCTCGGCTGCACGTGATGGCTGGCTAGTCAGGCCCCTGGGCTTGATAAAGTTGCGTCCACTTCATTGGGAAGAATGAACTCGATAATGTGTTCGCCATGGCTGTAACCTTCGAAGTTAGAATACTTGTTTTGCACCTGTCCGTGATGTTGCTTGCTTTGGTGGTGTCGTTCGCCTTGTTCGGAGTGGCTTGGACTAATCAGACGTTTTATGATGATGGTGCCAGCCTCTTTTAGCTCCATAGGAGCCCTTCTCTGCCAATGGGCGCTGTAATGCCAAGGATTCTGTAGGCGGTCAGTATGCACCTGTTCAGTAGAGTTTCATCGAGGAGCTTCGCGGCTACTGGGCTTGACTCTTTCTTGGCGACAGCTTGATCGGGCGTGCTGGCGCCGGACGGTTCGCTGCTGTCTTTGAGGCGCTGCGCTGGTTGGTCAGAGGGTAGTAGGTATGAGCCGGTTGGTCGTAGTTACTGAGCTGCCAAATTGGGTTGCCGATCTGTTGCTGCTTGGTTGGTTGGTCGCCTTTATGTGTGTGTGCCTCTTCGTTCCAACGTAGACTGTCAGCTGTCCCCACCATTCTCAACAGTTTGATCTGTTTCGAATAAAAATCAAAAACGTCCATAAATGACCATTATGGCTACATGGAGGTTGCTCTGAGTGCTTTTAGAAATCACGCGACGGTACGCAGTTCCGCTCGGGCTGTGAAGCCTGAAGTGTGCCATTCTGCACCATGATCCAAGTCTATTCTGAAGTCTTGGGAAAAACCTGCCCCAATCTGGGCACTGCAAGTTTTTTTTAGCACATTGCCCTCCTTTCCCCGATTATGTATGTGTAAGTATGGCATAGTCCGTAACTGCGTGGCAGGGGGGTCATAGCTCCTGCACCTAAGGTCCAAACTAACGGGATATTACGGCGTAGTTGTGGCAGGGGGCCGGTGCCTGTCCGCTCCAAATCTTTAGCTGATGTGGTGTTTCTTTTAACTTTTAACTTTTAAAATATGCTTTCTAGCTGTTGAAAAAAAAGAAAAAAGGAGCCCAAAATAAAGTGTTTCAAAGCTTACTGGCTTTAATAGTGCCAGTGGAGAGGACACTCGTTGATCATGCACCATCAATTTCAGCATGCTTGCAGTGTTCTTTTCTCTTTTCTCTGCATTTTTGTCGTGCAAAAAGACTGCCGCGAGAAGCTACCGTGAATGAGGTGACTACCATGACGGTTATCTGCCGGTTGTCGGTACATCGGGATCACATCGGGGAAAGTCACCTTATATGTGTAGGCCTTCAATTGCCGACAGCACAAAGATCTTGGTAAAGAGACAGGTTCATCTGGACTTTCAGTGTGAGGGCAAATGGTCGATTTGTTGTTGAAGAAACCCTCCGAAGAGAGAACATACACCGTTTCTAATGAGTCTACAGGTCAGCGATGTGCCCGCTTTTGCCTGTGTTGCGAATTCGTGCTACGATTCATGTAGGCCTGATGCCGAAATAGTGCGTTCCGGCGGCTCACCCACTTTAAATCCCAGTAAGAAGCCTGCCTGCTATTTTTTCATGACGGCCTCGTCATCAGCTCATTATGCTCTACGATCCTCCGTATATGAACCATCAGTTGCCCCACGGCGTGGCCGTGAACATGTATTACATCACAGGTCATCATGAAATAGCACTGCCATTCGTCGAAATACCCAACGACCCCATTTTTACACCACGATTAAGAAAATCAACATACAGGTAACACGAGTGAATATCTACAGTATTCACGGTGAGAGATGACGCATGCTACGTGAGAGGATGACGAGCGAGAATGTTCTTCCCGTGAGATCGGCTCTGGCCGGGCGGCCCTTCGTCGAGGCAGGCTTGCAGTGACAGACCAGTGACCTCCTCCAAACTGACTCAGTGACCCCAGAACATCGGCCACCACGCAACATCGCAGGAAACGTCCAACAGCCTCATCCTCACCCTCTTCCACACGCACACAGACACATCTCACTATGGCTTATCGGAGCCACGCCGTCCTCAACTGGCCTCGTCTTTCTTTAAGGGATCTGACCCTCACATGCCTGTGTTGTATGACCTGTCGGGCATGCGGCAGGCTGGGCCACACAGCCAGCAGCCAAACGACACTGCCCCGCCCCGTGCGTCTTTCGACACAGACCCTACGGCCAGGCAGGTGTCTTCTCTGAGCAGTGAAGGGGCCTGCGTCTTCCCGCACGGCCGGTCACCGTAGGTGCATACTGGGGCACCATCTCACTCCTCAACAACGGCTGGGTCGCCACGCCACACAAGAGACAGCGCTCCTCTTCACGCCAGTACCTCTGGCGGCGCCGCCTGCCCGGTCCGCCCACGCGGCTCCCGCTACCGCTGACGGCCGGCCGAACCAGTCCGCATGGTGGGCATACCAGCCCATCTGATTCCGTCCGCGCGGTCCGCATCACAGGTCCGTCCGCTCAGCACCAGTGGCGACCTGATTCCGTCCGCGCGGTCCGCATCACAGTTCCGTCCGCTCAGCACCAGTGGCGACCTGATTTCTTCCGCCTGGCGCGCGTTCTTGACGCCCTGAACTGTGGGGCCGTGCAGCCTCTGCGCTGGCAGGGCTGTCCGGCGCTGCTATGTTCTGTCTGTCTCTGAGGTCGGCTCACGGCCTTGCGAGCAGCGGCTGGCCGCCTATCCGGATGTCCGAGAAGAAATCCTCCGGTTTCAGAAACAGCTGAGCCGGAAGGAAAGAAACCGGTTAGGTCAGGCATGAATGAGCGCCGCGCATGATGCTTAGCTTACATAACACACAGTCTGCTGTGCAATGTAGAGCAGCTTCACTTGCAAAAGGTCGTAACGAATCGGGCAGCGAATCGACAACTTCCACGACAAAGACAACGCCTCCATGGCCAGTCAGCATAGGCGGATCTACACTACCCACCACTTGTACGCACCGTGTTTGCACTAATCGACAAGAGTCAAACACACACACACATCACCAGTGTGACGCAAGCGCCCGCTCATAACCGCCACCGTGTCTAGGAACGATAAGTTGGAAAAAAAGTGGCGTCCTTTCCCAGCTCCTTTATCCTTCCATCCGCGCAACGCGCACCACCAGCCCCTCAAGACTCACCTCCGTCTCCGAGTCGCTGAGCTCGGGGTCCGAGTCGGGCAGCTGCTCGCGCGCGGCGCCCAGCGACTCCAGCAGCTCGGCCACGTCCAGCCGCGCGTTCAGCAGCGCCAGCTGGTAGCAGGAGAGGCCGCCGTACGTGGCGGCCGTGACGTCAGCGCCGCACGCCTCGGTCAGCAGGCGCAGCATCGGGATGTTGCCGGTCTCCACCGCCAGGTGCAGCGGCGTGCGGCCGCTCTTGCCCTCCAACACGGCCACGTCGGCGCCGTGCGAGACGAGGTGCGCCACCAGCTCCAGGTCGCCGGCCAGCGTGGCCAGATGAAGGCAGCTCAGACCTGCCGGAGGCGCAGAGGTCTGTCACGTACGCTGTCGGGTCAACGGTCAGCCAGTCACGCATGTTGTCGGATGGACAGTCGATCAGGGCAGGCAGCTGCGCGTGCAGCTTCCAGCGTGGCCGTAAACTGACGTCAACGCAGACTTGGCCGCTCGCAAAAAAAAAAACTGATGACGTGTGAAGATGGGCATCGGAGATCGACAGTAAGCACGCTTGGGACTGGCTTTCCAGCCGTGGGCTCGCAAGCAGCCTACGTCACATTACGCAACGTTTCTGCCCGTGCTCATCCTCATTAAGATATCGAGTCGAACAGGTGACAGGAGCCGAACGGGGCCAGGGCACGCCGAGGCCGAGGTCACGTGCCCCACCCGGTCCGGGAGTACCGATCCTGTTCGGATCTCGTTGCACCGGTCCGTCCAGGATCCTCCTGGCCGTTTCAGCCGGGCCGTCCCGGACGAGGGCAGGGCGGTGCCAGGCCCGGCGGCGGCCCGAGACCGCTGCCCGGGCCGGGAAACCCTCGTCGGAAGGATGCGAGTGGTGGGCTTCCCGCAGCCGGCGGCCGGGAGGCGCGTCCGGAGACACTCTGGACAGAATGCCACTCAGACCACCTGTGGTGTCCAGACCGCTGGCAGCTGAACTGAATGGGAGTGGCAGGGAGGTTCCGTCGAGCAGAAAAACGCGCTCCTGATGACTACGTCCGGGCAGAAGTGCGCAAACTTTGTTTATTTAAAAGATGCTTTAAACAGGCACGGCCCTGCCAACTCCCACTGGCATCACGACGACTACAGTCGACATGTCAATGTGCAGATGTCAAGAGGTTTGGGCCCAGATCGGTGGCCATGACAACACGGAGCGTGACGTGTGCTGGGCATTTGTCATTGGCTGCTGCAGGACGGCTCGTTAAGCCGGATCCGCCATCATGCCGCTGTCCAATAGTAGCAATGTCAGACTGTCCCATGAATTCCCCTTAGGAGGGGGCGACCGCGGCCTGCTGTAGATCACCCTCTATTCTTGGCGCGGATCTTGATTATCTGCTATAGCACAGGCTCAGCAGTGGCGTCGTGTCGCAGCCACCGACGTGAGAGAATAAGGCTTCAGCAGGAGAATGCGCCTCCAAATGCTGCGACGGTGTCTCCCCAATCACACGGTTCGCAAACACGCGTTTTTCGAGGAGAGCGGGCGGGGGGAGGGAGGGGGCGTTACACCGATGCACTGCCGCGACGTGACGATGAGGCGAGCCGCCACCTCATGCAAAGATCGGCTCCCACCCGGCGCCCCGTCTGGCCGTGACGAAGCGCCCTCGAGCCGCCGCGCCGAGACGGTCCCGATCATGCCGGTGATCATGCCCGGGCTGGCCCAGGTCGCGCCAGCCAGGCCGACGGGCCACCCCAGCCATCCGGCCGTGTTTCCCCGCCCGCCGCAGTCGAGGCCCGCCGCGCCGCGACCGACGAGGCGCACCAGATGCCCCGAATTGGGTGCCCGTGAGAAGAGCCAGTAAGAGCGAGAGAGGCGAGCTCCAGGAACACGGAGAGGTGTGGCCGGATAGCGGTTACGCCGCCTTCACGCGCCGCCTCAGTTCGCGGAGAGGAGCTGCAGGAAATGCTGGCGGCCCTGTCGACGTTGACGGAGCGTGAAGTCACAGACTAACTTCCCCGGAAACTCCGACCGGCTCCGCACATAAACAGACCGGATAATCACAGGGTGATCTGGAACGTTGGAAACGGGATCTGGAGCGCGTTACCGCCCTTCCAACTTATGGCAGCCCACGCCTCGCCAAAATCATATGACCCTAGCGAACGTCGAAGCCTCCATTTCGTCGTCGTTTGACGATTCATTCCTTTCGTTAAGAATCACCCCAGCGTAAAGAAAGAGACAGCAAATTGCAGACGGCTAGCGGAACGAGCAAGGCAGATCAGCGGCCTGCAGTAGCAGGCTGCGCTGGAGTTCTGCCGAACGTCAGTCGTATTCACTATCCCGTCAGTGTCGTGGTGGTCTTCGCTGACGGCATCACGGGCAAATCTCACCCCTACAGGCGGCGAGGGGTGTGGAGGGGGAGGGAGGGGGGGGGGGGGGGGACCATGCGTGAGGAGCACCAGCAGAGGTTATCCCGCTGGGGTGTTTCATGACTCAGCGCACTCCCACCGTCGTCGGAAACGACGCGGAGCTTCCACGCCGGTCACAAAGCGTCGGATGCCCCCATCTCTGATTCAGCGACAGCGTGCTGTCGTATTTTGGGGCCGTCCGGCCCAGTTTAGCCACGCTGGCGGGAGACGATCGGGAAAACCGTGCCCGAAATACGGCGCCCGCCGACCGCCGCCGCGGACCAAAACGGGAAGTTCGGCGTGGTGGCGGGCGGCCAAAAGCCTACTGCGCTACGCTCGGTGACGACGGCGGCAGTGGCGGGAAATCAGCTGATGTGGCGCCGGCCGCTGCACGCTCCGACGAACGGATCAGCGTGCGGCGCCGGCCCGGCCGAGGGAGGGGAGGGGGGGGGGACTGAGACCTCTGACACCGCACCGGTCCGAAGAGGTCGGAGAGTCCAGCGGCCGACTCAGGACCGGCGGACCGGTCGCCGGGTGGCCGGACTGTCCGCCGCCGGTGACTAGTGCGGTCTGGCCAGAGAGGTCACCGTTACCACACCGGCGCCGCCGCCATGGAACGGGTGCCGGGTCAAGCCGAGACATGGTCGCGGAGAAAGCGCCGTGAAAACCCGCAGAACACTCTCCACGGCTGCAGAGACAGAGGCTGAAACCGCTGCCGCATGGCTCCACGACTTATGGGGAATTCCGCCGGCGACGGCCGCTGCACTGCGTCGTGGCGACTGCTGTGCCTTCCCGTACCTCGGCGCGAGGGTCCACTGATGTGGTACGGGGTCGTCGTGGCCTGCATGACCCCCGACATTTCCCAATGCACCTGAGAGTAATGCAGTTCGCAGCCCTGGGTAGTGTAGTGCAAACAGGACGGCAACGACGAGTGGCGCGACGGGAGACGCGCGTTGATATCGTTCTTACATGTGCAGTGAGTGTAATCCAACTGCGTTGCAGCGACCACCAAAAGAACGCGCGGCAATACTATCCCAGATTCGCAGCGCACGTCACTGGACGCCACTGCGTGGGCCACCGATTTGTGTCCGCTGAGGAATTGTATGGAAACTGCTGTTATTTGGAGCCAACCACGACTGCCTGGGGATGCATGCAGTGCGATAGCCAGACACGCCACGAACGATCAGATGAAAGAATCACGGCAACGCTCCACGCCCCCGTATGTGTGACGTTGCTCGTGGCATCAACGGCCAGCGAGGCGGCCCGGGGGCGGCCTGCCAATGACGCAGGCGGCACCGGACGCACGTCCGCGCCGCGCGCTGCCCAGTCCGCGGCCGTTCGCACAATTCGCGCACACCCTGACGCGCTGGACCGCCCGCCGGAAGCGTTCGACGGAAATGCCGGGGATGCCAGCGGCTGGCGAGGCGCGTCGACGCCGAAAACTGCCGTGGCGCGTGCGGCATCACGAGGACCGTCCAGTGCCGCCGCAGTCGCACGGCGCCACTGATCGCTGATCATTGATCGGCTGGCACCAAGCCGGCGAGGAGCCGGAACAGATAAGGCACGGGACGCGAGCCTACCGAGAGGTTTCCGGCGGCTGACGGCCCCGAGCGGCAGCCGACCGCGCCGCGGGGCGCCCCGCCCACCGGCTGACCCCTGTCGTCGCCGTTTTGAACGAGGGCCCTGGCCAGCGGTCCTCAGCGTCAGCGGAGACAGCCGCCCATCGCCCGCTGACCGCATGGGACCCCGCCGCCGTGAGTCGCGCCCGCCGCGGAAGCCGGCGGCGGCGGGTGGCGGTCACACTCCTGTCAGGCCGCGGTGGGATCCCGCCGCGGAAGCCGGCGGCCGGCGGCGGTCACACTCCTGTCAGGCCGCGGTGGGATCCCGCCGCCGTGAGTCGCGCCCGCCGCGGAAGCCGGCGGCGGCTGGCGGCGGCCGGCGGCGGTCACACTCCTGTCAGGCCGCGGTGGGATCCCGCCGCTTCGGCGGCGTTGGTGCGCGAGCGGGGATTCCTCGGGTTCCGGTAAACACGGACAGAGACGGCTCCGAGTCACGATCAATGACGGCGCCGACGGCGGCCAGACGAGACGGCCATTCGATGAGCACGCAGTGTCGGCAGTCAGAGCGCTGGGCGGTTTTTCACCGGCCCGCGACATGTCACCACCGGCCTCTGGCTGTTGGCTATCGTTTGCGTTATTTTGCTTGAAAGTGCGCGCAGGGATGAGTCACTAACCGCGAAATGCATGAAAGATCATGTGTGTGTCACACGGATATGAATGGTTTGTAGGGGATTTTGTGGCGCTGCAGAGTGTGAACTGTCTGTGGGGTCCGGCTACCCCTTGTGCTGTGTCCTTCGCGTCCCCCCGGATGCCGCCGCAGGGGGGGGGGGGGAGGCGAAAGCTTCCAATGCTACGTGAACTGTACACCGCTGAATGCGGCGCCCTGAAGCGCTGACCCATGCTCTCTCCGATGACAGCATGCATTCAAACAGCAGCGTTTACTTGTTGGAACTGCCGCGGCAGGATTACCGCGAGGAGAGGGGCGGGGGGGGGGGGGAGTGACTGCAGTTTCAGTGGAGTGGTTTCCGTCGAGGCCTTCCCAGCTGGGTCCTTCATTTGAAGTGTGTGTGTGATCCGGACAACACAACACCTCGGCCTGAATCACGCCAGTGAAACGCGGGGAAGCCACGCGGCCGCCCCCGCTGTCTCGAGCTGCACTCGGCGAGGCGTGGGGCGGCGATATATGCGATGACTGGCCGCAGCACACTCGCGCTTGAGCCCGCTCATGCCGACGCATGTCATATCAGCTCGAACAAGGCGAATGAGGTCACTGCAGCCAGCCGTAACACATGAAGGTCGCCGAGCTCTAACTACGGCTGATAAACACCGTCGCGCTGCCCGCGCCGGGCCCTGATGCTACCCGCCGTCGCCGATGACGGCGCCGAGCGAATCTGACATCCGGCGGGAGCCATGCCGTCATGGCAAACACAAACACGCCGCTGCCGGCAGACGGCCCGAAGCTGCGAAGTCACGCTCCGCCGCCCGACCGACGGCCGTGCGACACGTCCGAGGTTTTTACACGCGCTGGTAATCCCGGCCGGGTAGATCTGGAGGGGTGCCGGGTACGGCGTACCGCCGCGCGCCGGGAAGCCAGGCTCGTGGCGACCGGGGGCGTGACGCAAAGCCGCGTTACTCAGCGTCGCGACCTGACGCCCCCCGGCGCAGGCGGGAAAGCGGCGGTTTGCAGTCCACAAAGCGCCCGACAATGGGCGAAGGCGCCGCCGGAAGTTCATTCAGCGCGACCAAAAGCGCGGGCGACAGACGCGTCAACTGCGGCGGCGGCGGAAGGGGGGGGGGGGGGGCAAGGTCGCCGTCCTGAATGCAATGATCTTGGGTCTCAGAATGGTACGGTTGTTTGTTTTCTCGCACGATTTTTTCTCTCGTAATAATAATAATCAGACAGGACAGAAGCTACATCTGAATCTGATCTGTCGTTTATGCGCTGAGGTGCAAAAAGACCAACCGTGTATTTCAAGAAATGCTGGTTTTGCTTTCATCAATCTCCGAAATCCTATCGCACGATTTCTCGACACATTTCCCGCCACGGTCCTTTGCGTCCATTGATATCGCAATCTGTGCAGTCCAATTAAAAGACACCGGACTTTTCTCCTGATCGGCCTATTGGACTGTCAGGGACACCCATGGCTCACTCGCCTCCCCTCGCTCCTCCCCCTCTACAGGCGTGGCACATCGGACCTGGCGCTGCTCACTCACCCTGGTAGTTCCACTCGTCGAGCGGCGGCGGCGGCGCGGCCGGTGGCAGCGCGTAGCGTGGGGCCGCCAGCCGCGTCTCGCAGGCGCTGACGGGCGCCGTCAGCGCCTGCACGCAGCGCCGATCGGCCCGCTCACAGGCCAGGTGCAGCGGCGTGTTGCCGTGCCTGTCGCGGTGGTTCGTGTCGGCGCCGGCCACCACGAGGTGGCGGCACAGCGCCGCCTGGCCGGTCAGCGCCGCAAGGTGCAGCGGCGTCTGCCGACGGGGGCGGCGTAAGGAGACAGCTGGGGCAACGGACACGCCGCTGGGCGTCTGACCGTAAATGGCAACTGAAACCGCCGCCGATGAGGCAAGAAGCGGCGATGGGATTTCTGTCCGTACGACCGGTCTGCGAGCCGAGCACAGCGCCGGGTTGGGGATAGCGATCTGACAATCAGTTTAAGATTGTGGTCGACAGGCTGGGCCGCCGTGACGGACACAGTTTTAGAACTGACACAATCTAATCACATCACGGCCCAAGAATCCCCTGGCGGAAAGAGCATGCCAGGTATCGGTGGCGTCATTAACTGCGAAACACCCAGGTATTGTCGGCACATTCTCTGTTACAACCATTCGATCCGTCTATACAATCATAGCTGTGTGTCAGTAGTCAACTCGGCAATATTATTTACCGGGGATTTTTCTCGTTCATGCAGGCACATTGGAATATCGACACAATATACGAGGATGATCACGGTGAGTGTAGGACGACACCAGATGGCAGGCTGTCCGCCCGGCCGATACTGAGAGCGGCAGGCAGGCCCACAGTACGGCAGGTATTAAGGCAGGTGTGGGTGTGTGAGCGGTGAACGACATATCCTGTTTCCCAGGCCACAAGCCACTATTTCTTAGGCCACAAGCCGGCTCAATAATTCTCCGAAATATAGTTCTGAAAAATTACTTTCACTGTAAGGAATTCAACCGACTGACAAATCGAGCTGAGTTCTCCAAAAGTCAACGAAAAATAAGACGCCGCTGAACCATGTGTGTAACCTTCCTGCACACTGGGAACGTGACATTACTCTTATCAGCGATGCAACTGCATTCTCAACATCTCAGAAACTTAACATGAGATCTTTGAATTTGCATGGATGGATGGAGTTATGGACCCAAAAATCTACTTAACATCCATAATTTGTTGGAAGCTTCCAATCCTGTTCTGAACTACGAGGCAACAAAACTGCACCCAGCCACAGCAACAAGGCGCTCCGCGAGAACACAGGAAACTGCAGCTGGCCCCGCGCCGGCAGATCGGGACCGGCGGTCCCCTGGCCTCTGCCGGTTCGGTGCCACCGCAGCCGCGGCGCCCCGCTCACCTGCATGTAGCTGTTGCGGAGGTTGAGAAAGTCCGGGTGCGGCACAAGCCGCACGAGGCACTCGGCGACGCCGGCGTACTCGTAGATGATGGCCAGGTGAAGGTGCCTGCAACGGTGGGCGCCGGTGAGAACGTCGCCGGTGAGAACGGAGCCTACCGCGGGATTTCCACCGGCAGCCGTCTGTCCGACCGCTGTTTTCACAGGGGGCGGAAAGTCCGCTGGCTATCGGTGGGGCCGGCCGGCCTGCCGACAGACCGCATCAACCCGGCGTCACCGCGACCCCGACGTGACCTCGGGCGAGGACGGCCAGAGAGACGGGCGCCGAGCCGGCCCGCAGCAGTACATACGAGTAGCAGGGCGGCAGGAAGAGGACGCGCGAGGTCCTGCCCGGTGGAATGCAGATGGAACGGCTCGCGAGGACGAGAGTAGCCAAATATTCACGGCCAGATCTCACTCCGAGATAAATGGATTTTAAGTCTCGGATTTTGTATTTGAAGACATGTTAAGTCCCCGTTCTCCTGACAAAGGCTGGCTGATCATAATTCAAATCAAGAGGCCCGGCAATATACCCTGGCGCCAACTGCCCATGATTTAGCAAAGGAGAACGTTAAAATGGCACTGGAGTCTTTCCCTGGGACCCGACGAGTCACACGGCCGCAACCGCAGCATGTCACGATCATCACGCAGGGCACGCCGCACCACAATGGTCACTGCAAGACCGTTCATCGCTGCCGGCAGGTGCTGTGTGCTGCAGCCATTAATCATCCATCCGGAAGAACCCGTCTACAGCTCGTGGTCTTTCTCCCCAGGACTTTGGCCACCATAAACACGGACCTGCGGTCCGTGGTCCGTGCTCGTCTTTTTTGTGAATGACGCGGTTCCCACGCCGCTCCGCGCGCCACCGTCGTAATCCCGGTGACGCCAGCCTAGCACAGCCGGCCGGACGGACCGTAACGTTCTGGGGATGACCGGCCATCACGGCAGCTCCAGACGGCCTCCGCCGCCGACCTTGACCCGGCCCTGTGCCGACTGGGATTTCCGCGCTCATTCGGCGGCCGAGGCCCTGCGCTGCCTCGGTGCCGCCGTACAAGCCCGGCAGCGCGGGTCGCTGGCTCGCGCCGGGCAAGCGCCCCCGGAATTCCCAGGCGGCAGGCCCGTCGCCGGAGCGCGAGGGCGCGCGGCCGGCGGTGGTGGCACCGCTGCGCAGTGCCGCCCGCCCGGCGCGCACGCAGGCGACGTCAATGGGTGTCAGGCGGGCGCTGGTGGGAGCTTTCCAGCGGTTTCGCAAGTCCGCCGCGTTGTTTTTGTGGTTGTGACATTCGAGCTTGTGGAGGCGCGCGGCGGGGATTTCGACAAGCCTTGTCCACTGGAGGGCATGCGAGGAGGAACAAAGGCATGCGAAGACAACAACTAGGCGAATGTGGGTCAAATCGGAACGAGGCCAAACACATCACCAACACTAACAGCAGGGGGAGGGGTGGTAGTGATGAAACTCGAGCTATGTATCCATTATTCATTGGTTCCCCAGTTATGTTAACGCCTACAATGCGAACAGGACTTACGCGCATTGTAACTAACCCCTGTTAGCACATGCCAACTCTTTTAAATTTTTTGCGTGAATTTGGATTTGGATTGGATGCGCATTTAAATGTCAACACCAACTTCGGGGCCGCCACGTAAAAATGATTAGATCAATAGCACGCAATATTGTTCTATGACGTGAAAAGAATTTGCACGTTCGCAACGCACTCAATTTGAATTTCAGGCAAAACTTCGAGTTGTGACACTCCAATTGCGATTTGTGCCTAGCCGCTGGATTTAAACGCAAAGGATCCACGGAAATACATGACTGGAATAAAGCCTTTCTTGCCGTGGCTGCAACACATCACGCGTTCCCACCTTCGGCCATGTTTCGAATGGTGACGTGGCTTCCCCTTAAACCCTGACGCAAAGCACGCCAGCCCGATGCTGGCTAACACGGCTGGTAGATATCCGTCGGCGCTCCGCCACGCAGAGCCGAAGAGCGCGCCACCCGCTGCACTCACGTGTCTCCGTCCTCGTCGCCGCGGAAGGCCTCGTCCCAGCACCTGCAGGGTAGCGGCGTTCCCAGACGCCGCGCTCGGCGCCGCTCAGCTCATACTCGTCCAGCTGGAGGGCCGCTCAGGCCGGCGCTGAGCCGCTCGTCCGCGCCCTCGCCCCGGCCGCTGCGACCGCTTCCTTCGGGTAGCGCAGCGGCGGCGCGCCCGGCGCCGGCGACAGGCCATCGGCCGGCGACAGCAGGCCCGACACGAAGCCGCTGTCGAGTGGCGCCAGGTCGCGCTGCTTGCCGAGCCGCAGCCGGTGAGGGGCCGCGCCGCGTGTCGGCAGCGCCGCCGCGCAGTCGCTGACTGTCGTGCCCTCGCCGTTTCCAGCCGCCGTTCACTCCGTTGTGTGACATGTTCGGCGTCGATCGCGCGGCTGCACCGACCTCCCCGCCGCTCTACTGAGCCCGCACTGTGGCGCGACGACGCGCCAGCCGGCTCGCCGTGCCGGGAATCCCGGCCGGCGACGGTGGCGCCGCGCGACGGCCGGCCGGCAATCTGCGCGCGCCTGGGATGGCCGGGGATGGCCGGATTACACACAGCGTCGCTCGTCGCGTGGAGGGAGGTCCCATCGGGCTGTCGGGGGGTTCGAGCATTGTGTGGGTTTGCACGGAACCCGGGTGGACTCAGCACCCATGGCGAGCCAGGGGACGGGTGGGGACTCCCGCAAAGGACGGAGAATGGGGTGAGTTCTGTTCGATGATATCCGATTCCGACTTCCAATTGAGTACCATTGCCTTCGTGTCCCTCGTCAGCAATTTAGGCGGCACCAGCAGGATTGTGTTCCCCAGGCCGCCTCTAACGAGACAGGCGGAAGATGGCCGAGGAAGTCCTCCGGGTCAGTAAACAACAGGAGCGCCACAACATATCGGACGGAAAGGGCCGAGTGACGCACGTTCTGAAGCTGACGGGACTTTCTCTTGCAGCTCAGCAGATATCATGTGCAAGCAAGCAAGCAACATGCACCAGAGGAGGAAACATCCCTGTCGTGGGACAGTTCGGTGGTGACAACACAGTTTGAAAGCAACACCGGCCGCATGCACGACTGCAGCGTTTTTTTTTGTTGTTGGGGATGTGCTTCGTTATAAGTCCTCGAGTGTCACGCGTCCGGAATACCCGGCTGGTGAGCGAGTCGCTGCATTCACATTTATCTGCACTTGACCTTAAATGTCACAAAACACGTCAGGGTGCGATCACCGTATTCCACACTGGGGCTAACCGCGGCTTTTCAACAAAATGCATGGCACTGGTCATCAGCGTCAGAAACCGGCAGAATGCGAGGATTTACCTCGCGGTTACAGCCATTGCACGAAAGACTTCATCCAGACATGCTGCCCGGACTGAACAAGGTACATGAGCACGGTAATCAGCGGTCTTAGGATCATACCGAATCATCCTCGCATGTCATCACCCACTCAGTCTCACTAGAACTATAAGTAACTGGCTTCCTATCTTATACATCATCAGACATGATATGCACGCATCTTATGAATGCAGTCATCTCAATAGTAGCTGAGATAACTCTTTAGTTACCCATTAGCACAAGCACCCAGCATTAGTTGCTTCTCTCGGTACCGGTCACAAGCTGTGTTAACCGCCCCGGTGGCACCACGGGTCGAATACTTGTACTTGAACGAGTGGAAAACTGCCAATGAACCGCGTACGACCAACAGAAAAAGGGAAAAGGAGGGTGTGACGGACATCCCACCTTACATGTAACATTGAATGCGGTCGAGTTTTGATGCATGTTGACACTAGTTCCACACTGGTTAGCATTGGAGAGAATTCCTTTATAGTTCCTTCCTGCGTGCCTGGATTACGTAATCTTTAAGCTTTTACTCATGTTCCAGCAGGGAGTGTTACGACCTATTTTCTCATTTTGACAGGAATCAAATGCATATTACTGTAGAGTTCACTGAATCGCAGCAGGTTTGAACACGTACACGCCAGCACTCCTGGTGGCATTCATGGGTGACGTGCAGATTCTTAATTTGAAAAGAATGGTTTTCCAAACACTACGTCTAGACCTTTGAGTTCCTCTTTCACATGACGCAGTGACGTGATTGTTGCCTCAACGTGTCATACATGATGTGATCAGGAAAAGTGCTGTGCTATGTTATTTTGGGAGTTTTCAACTGCCATGATAATCAAGGTATCGTCCACAAAGCCTTATGCGCGTGGCTTTTAAATCGAGCGCCGCCAATGCTCACGTTGAGGAAATGAATTGCGGAATTTCCGAGATGACTCGGTATTTAATATTTTTGGGGCGATCCTGCCACGTATTGAAATCTGACACCTTGATCACTCGGCCACGCCTGCGGAAAATGGCATAAATCTTAAAGTATATATTTATATATAAATATATCTCCCCCCCCCCTCTCTCTCTCTCTCTCGTTAGTGGGTACACGGCACTTGTGGTGAAGACCACGAGCATCACCAAGCACAAAGCACCACAAGCACCGCTCTTTGCATGACCCTGTGAGCGGTCAAGAACATGAAAGTGGGCACGATTGCATTGATTTGAGGAGCCGCATTCAGCTGCGGCAAGGGCCGGTAAGTGTCGGGGAAGTCCAGTGGCTCTCAAGTCACGATCGCTGGCCGACATAACGGTTTGAAAACCGCCCGCCTGAGAACAGCCAGTTGGCCGTGAGCGGCGACCGGCTGGGAACCGTTTGCCGTCCAATCGTTCTGGCAGCTGCAGCAACATCATAGCCTATTTTCTTTCATCGAGGTAAAAACATGCAAGGGACGAGAGCTTACGTGGGCTTCTGACTAAGCTTCTGCTCGACAGGAGGCGCGGCTATTTATTACATACAGTCTGAGCTGCGAAGGCCAAGCTGCAAAATCGCGCCCGTTAGGTGCTCCGTCGTCGAGCTGTTTTCCTCCCTTGGTACGTGGGGAGATGTTATCTGTAATGACAGCTATGTTCTGTCTGCTCCTAGGCACGCAAGCCTCGGTATTGGTTGCATTTCACAGCATCTTATGGGCTATGGTGCTGCCCGACCCGAACCGCTTATGAGTCATGACAACCAAATGTGATATCGCATAAATGAAACGTAAAGCTTGCATCGTGCTGATTGTACAGATAACTGTTTGAACATTATGAAAGAATGTTTAATATGCTGCCCTCTGTTATCAAATCAAAGCGATGTGAACCATAGACGCAGGGCTTCCAGGACATGGATGGACCTGGCTTCTGGCCCTAGCCCTGCCAGCAGACAGGGAGTAAGAATATGTTTTTCCCGCGTCCTTTCTTGGAGCCCCGTTTTACCAAAGCTAAAAGTTTTGTAGTTACACATACATGTTATCAAACAAACCAGATCGATGAGAGTCCATAGCTCAGGTAGCAGGACCTTAATTCATGTTCATGATGTTCATGATGTTCATGATGTTCATGATGTTCATGATGCTCTTCACTGCATTAACATGCGCCCGAGTGGAGAACCAAGTTAAGCCTCATCCGAAGGTTTGTAAATAATGATTTCCAAACGGCGCGGCACATATACGCCAAACTTTTCATAGCTGTAAGCAATTGAGTAGAGAATATTTTTCTTAAAAATCAGATGCAACTTGTAAGGCTGTTGTCCTATGGCCGGGCAAAGCAAGGCCGGGGCTGTCAGCGAAGGCAATTTCAAGGGAATTGTTTAATCTGATGCGCCAACAGGGTGTTAGACGAAGCCTCACATATCTGAGATAGCTTCTTAAGCAATAAAACAATGAAATTTAGGGTTCACACAGATTCCATTCACCTAGGGTCGTGTATAAAGGTCGGACCGAGGTCAAAACTAATCTGCGTTTTTACTCCAGAGTTTCCTGTGTGGTAGTTTCTGGTGCTCATTTCGAATTTATCTCTAACAGAGACCGCAACATGCATCTTCCATAGGCTTCTCAGGGGCCAGAGCGGGTCACTGACCTCAAATGATCAAGGTCAACCATTTTTTTAGCAACATACTGCTAGCGTAGTCATTGACGCTTATTCGAATGTAAAAAGCCAGAGCAATCGCTTAGGTCTTTGGCCACCATAGCATTCTCAAGGTCAAACAAGATACCTGAACTGAAATAAACACCAGTGACCTTTTGCTTAGAGCAGGAATCTAGGGTCAAGGCGGCCGCTTGACGAAGTCAGGAGTACTTCAAACACTAATTTAGAGTTTGGCCTTGTTTGACCCTATTTGACTCGAAGGTTATGGCTTGGGAAGCTCAAATTTCACCTGAGTGATTTCACATACGGGTCAATCCACTCAGCAAATTTGTGTCCCTAGCTCTAGCTTTAATTTCGCCAGATTAGGGGAGTACGCTAGATAGTGTCACGAGAAGTATGGATGACTTGCTGTTGAGACTCTTTTGCCTTCTTCCCGCCAAAACTGAGGAGGCACTTTTAAAAGTCACGGTCAGGATCCCCCCTCTCCATATGCGAGGAGGCCCATTTTACATAGAAGACCCCTGGAAAATTATTCCCTCAACTCAAGCTACTTGAAAAATACGTGCACAAATGACAGACCGACTCTTTTTATGACCATGATGTAATGAGTATGAAGGGGCTCAAAACAGACACGCTAAAGACATCATGTGACGCAACATTGCCCGTCAAAGCGGCTAACATCGCGTGAAGAGCCTTCCGAGCCTAAACTGGAAACCCCTCTGCACCTTCTGCACATTCAGGAGACCGCCAGTTGACTAGGTTTCACTGGCTAAATGGAGGTGAGCCTCACGTGGAGTTTTTCTTTCCGCCGGTTCACCTTCCGTATCTACGAGAAACAAATGAAAAGAAATCGACGTGTGCCTGCATTACGGCGCAGGTGCAGACGGTGTGGGCGGGCGTGATGTGATGAGACTCGAGCGGAGGCGCCGGCGACAGGTTTGTGCACGCCATCATGTCGCAAATAAAATACCGTAGCCTGCGACTCTCGAGATATTGCCGCACATAACTTTACCCGGAAATGTAGAATATATAAATACATATAAAACACAAAAATATATACTGAATATAAATTGAGCGCCAGCGCACCCGAGCTCCCGCCCGGACTTCCCTGGGAAGCCCCCGCCTGCATGCACCGAGTGGCGATCGAACGTGGCTGGTCGCTGGAAATGTCCCGGCTTCGTTGCTGCAGCAACAGAGCACCTCTCCGACCTGGCCTGTTGATGCAGTAACAGACCCAGAGGTGTCTGTTACTCTTGGGCTGTTCCTCTTGGTTCCTTTCGTTTCCTTTGTGGGCAAACGACCTGGAATATGCCAGGAAGTACTGGTTGAACAGCGCTGAAGCGCTAAATAACGACTACATTGACAGCACTGAATATTTGAACAACGCCCATCATGAAGAGGGGCAAGGATTCAGGGAGGCTCAGCAAAACATAA